GTTCCTGCCCGCTGCGGGGTCTGCCGAGCGCGCGTCGCGCTGCGGCAGGCTGTTGTGGCGACCAGGGCGGGTCGTGCGAGACGCTGCGCTGCCAGGGCGCGGGGCCGGCCAGGCTCTCCAAGACCAGCCCCAGAAGCTTGGAGCTGTGTCTGTCCCGGTGCCCCTTTTCTCCGCTCCCGCCCGGGGAGCCTCCCTGTCTCCTCCACGTGACGGGAGGTGCTCTACGGGGTCCCAAGGACTTCTCGGCTGACGCTGACACCTCCCTGGAGAACACCTGGCAAAGCACCGGATTTCCGTTTTTTAAAGTGAAAAAAAGAAAACCTTTTGGTGTTCAGGAAGCGCCGCAGGACATCAATTCAATTCTTGGGGGGTTGGGATCTTTGGTGTAAAATAGGATAAAATTGAGACCAGGGGGTTGACGTGACGGTGCTATTCATTGCGTACTTACGTTGAAAAACGTAAATTGTACAGACACGTGTCCAATAAGGATGTGTGTAATATGTATCCAGTCAGGATGGCGGTAGCGATAGAGCTGCTCATTTATCCTCCTTGCAGATAACCACGTACCGCACCAGGGTCTGCAGCGAGCGCAGCGCTCGCACGTGTCCGGTGCAGCCACTCTCTGGACTGGGACAAACCCGGCTCAGTGCTGCCCTCCGGCGGTGCGCTCCGAGCACTGCAGCCACGAGGAGCAGTGCCGAGGAGGGGAGACGAACTCTCCGCTCGGTGCTGCCCTCCTGTGGTCCTTTCGGGGCACTGACGCAGCGGGTGAAGGCAGAGACAAAGTCGGGCTCAGAGCCGCCCTCCTGTGGCCGCGCCGGGCATTGCGGCGGGAAGACCCGGGCGGAACAAAGCCGGCTCCGTGCTGCCCTCCCTGCGCGGAGCAGCCGGTTTTTAAAGGCAGAGAAAAGAAAACCCTGCCCTCTGCTACTGCCCTGCGATTCAAGCCGGGGTTTCCAGCCGAGAGACGAGGGCAGGGAGAGGGACAGCGGCTCCGGGCCCCGCGCCCGCAGCTCGGGCAGGCGGGAGATCGAGGCAGAGAGAGAAGAAGGACCAAGGCCTCGCTCGCTCGCTCGGGGGTCACTCGGGCAGTGCCCACGGCCGGGGCCAGGCGGGGTCGCGCTGCTCGGGGCGGACACACGAGTCACGGACATGGATTCCGGGCCGGGGAGAGCTCTAGGGCAGGGATGGGAGGCTCGTGTTCCCATTGGCCAACATGAGCCGTGAGGCGATAGGGTGGTGTGGCCGCTTGGGCGGAGTCACAGCATTGCCGCCCTTCTTCCCTCTGATTGGCTTGTGCAGGGGAGGTGGGACCAAGAGCCCGGCCTCTTTGTTCACAGTCTGATTGGCTGCCGGGCATGGTGGGGAGGGGGGCGGGATGTGCAGGGTTGTGTGTGCCCATTGGTCCGACTCCGATCCGCACCGGCCGCAACCAGCGGTTTGCCTGTCCGCGCGGCGTGGAGCCCACGTCCCGTTGCTGGGCAGACTGGCGACCGGTCCGGTCTGCCCAGCACAACCACTGCTGTTTGTGTGCTTCCCCGCTGGCTGTGGGTTTCCCTGTGGTGCAAGGTGCTGGAGGCCTTCAGTGCAGGGGGCTGAGCCTTCGGCTCCAGTCCCGGTACCCCTGCGACTACCCAGGGCCGGGAGCCTGCGTCCCAGGGGTGCTCCTCAAGCAGGTGCTGCAGCTGGGCCTGTGCCCTTTTCCTCTACCGTCTGCTTGGCTGCTGGGATTGGGGCGAGGGGTGCACTCTTCTCTGTGCCGATTGGTACATGCCCTGCAGGCCCGTTCTGCTGTCGGAGCACTGGGCTTGTGCGGGAGGGCGAGGGGTGGGGAAGGGGCTGCTGGAGCAGGAGGCCCGCACCCAAGAGCCCCGCTTCGAGCCCAGTGCTGCTCGCGGGCTCCTTGGTGAAAACAGGAGCTATGCCTGCAGCCAAGCGCTCTGCCCAGCACAACCACCTTCCATGGACAGAGGACAGTGGCTGCAGGTTCAGCTAAGGGTAAAAGCTCCGCCCTGCTTCGCTCTGATTGGCCTCTGTCTGAGGAGGCGGGTCCAGGAGCTCGCCCCCCTTGTTCGGATTGGGATTGGCTGTCGGGGATGGTTGGGTGTCCGCAGTCCTCGGTGTGCCGATTGGTCCGACTCTGATCCGCAGCGGCGCCGTTATCCGAGGCCGGCGCGTGCCCCGAGCGGGGCGGGAGCCGGCTGCCGCAGC